GCAGAAATTGGTAGGAAAGGAACACAAAAGCATCTTGCATCAGTTGAAGCTTCAGTGTGAAAAGAATTTAAAGAAGGGCTGCCATTTTGTACAGAAGACACCCCAAACCTAAGAATATGTATATCAATGTTAAAAAGAATTGAATTTAAATATCAAAATACTAGTTTTCTGATGACTGACCTATGATTAATATTCAACAGAAATCTGTAGAAAGGAATTGTGTAAATACGTCCTAAGCTTTAGAAGTTATTAACATGGGTATTGTTGAAACGTTAGGACTGGTATTAACAAAACCAGTTATAATTACTACCAAAGCAAAGTTGTGAAAAAGATTACTGTTCTTGAGACCTGTTGGTTAGCTCCCCATAGCAAATGATTAAGAATATCAGAGAAAACAGGGGCACCTGGGTGGCTCAGTCAGTTGAGTGTCCAGCTTTTAACTTTGGCTTGGGTCATGATCTCACTGTTTGTGGGTTCAAAGCCACATTGGGCTTTGTGCTGGCAGTGTGGAACCTGCTTGGGAGTCTCTCTTTCTCCCTCTCTCTGCCCCAGTCCTGCTCATGTGCTCTCTCTCTAAATAAATAAACAAACAAACTTAAAAAAAAAAGAATATCAGAGAAAACAAATGAAAAGTAAAATAAGTTTCTCAATGTCTAAATACCCAATCTATGTTTCTTGAATCTAAACTACATTACATACTAAAAAGCTATAACTGGGGCGCCTAGGTGGCTCAGTCGGTTAAGCGGCCGACTTCAACTCAGGTCATGATCTCGCGGTCCGTGAGTTCGAGCCCCGCGTCGGGCTCTGTGCTGACAGCTCAGAGCCTGGAGCCTATTTCAGATTCTGTGTCTCCCTCTCTCTGTTCATGCTCTGTCTCTCTCTGTCTCAAAAATAAATAAACGTTAAAATTTTTTTTTAAATAAAAAAAAAGAAATAAAAAGCTATAACCATCTTATGGCTTTTTATCTCAAGAGTTTACAGATTTCCAGGGAATTAACATCTCCTAAACAAGACTTCCTAATAGAATACTATGGAAGGAGATTTTAAAATTTCAGTTAACCCCTGGGGCGCCTGGGTGGCTCAGCCAGTTAAGCATCTGAATCTTAATTTCAGCTTAAGTCATGATCTCACAGTTCATGGAATCAAGCCTGGAGTTGGGCTGCACCCTGAAAGCACAGAGCCTATTGGCAATTCTCTCTCTCTCTCTCTCTCTCTGTCTCTGTCTCTCTGCCCCTTCCCCACTTGTGCACATGTACACACATGCTCTGTCTTTCTAAAGCAATAAATAAACTTTAAAAAATATATAAATAGGGCCGTCTGGGTGGCTTAGTCGGTTGAGTGTCCAACTCTTGATTTCAGCTCAGGTCATGAACCCAGGGTCATGGGATCAAGCCCGTCAGGTTCTATGCTGAGCGTGGAGCATGTTTGAGATTTTCTCTCTCTATTTCTCCCCACCCACTCTGCCCCTCTCCCCTGCACTCTCTGTCTGTAAAATTAAAAATAACGTATTTTTATAATTCAATAAATAAGTAAATAAATAAATAAAATTTCAGTTAACCCCTAAAGATCTTAAATACGGGAAATCATCTCCATTTCCTTCCAACAGAAAAATCAAGGAGAAAATAATATATGGTACAGGAGGAGGTTCTGAAATTTTAAGAATCCGGTTTTCTTGGATTCAAGCCAATTATCACCATCCTAACCTTTTAACTGGTAAGACACCATTCAAAAGTCAGATGTAAGCCCAGAAATAAAAATATTATGATAGTATAACATTGTACTTTTGTGCACAATCACTTGTGGTACCACAAAAGAACAGTGGACAAATAACACTCAATCAGTACGTGAAAGGGAAAAAGAGAACAAAGATAACACTACAATGAGTTTATTCCCCCATTAATAATGTTGATTGATGCAAAAATACTTTCCATTTTCACTAATCTTTCTTTAAATCAGCTACTTGGTTAGATTGAACCTCCTAATTTGAGTTAGAAATGAACTCAAATTCAGGACAACTGGAACATGAATGACTAGACCTCAAATCCTAGGCCATACAACTCATGTATTAGAACAGTTCAACTCTGCTAGCCAAGGATCAAGTTTTAAGGAAAGTATTCATAAATAAATAAATAGAAGTATTTAAGAGTGAAATGTTTAATTTTCTGAATTAGAAATTAATCCAAATGAGAAAAATATGAAATACTTTTAAAATAAGAGGATGAGGCTATCTACAAAGTGAGAATACTTTATTTTCAAAGTTCAATAATACACATTCTCTTTCACTTACTAAATTTTCTTCTCTTTTTATAAATTTTTTTTAATATTTATTTTTTGAAAGAGAAAGAGTGAGTGGGGGAGGGGCAGAGAGAGAGGGAGATACAGAATCTGAAGCAGGCTCCAGGCTCCTTAGCTGTCAGCACAGAGCCAGAGGTGGGGCTCCAACCCAGAACCATTAGATCATGACCTGAGCCAAACTCAGATGCTTAACTGACTGAGCCACCCAGGGGCCCCTGATTTAATAAATTTTCAAAATTAGTTCCTCAACAAATCCTTTATTCAAGTAAGGTAGAACCAAAACTCAGAGGATTGTACAGGAAATCATTTCTTTCTAATCTTAGAAAATAAACCAGTTCATAGATATAGCACATGGCAAATCTGAAGATGAGATGCACCATCTTTTACTATTCAATCAATAAAAAGTAGTGATAACAAAACTGTAATAGTTCAAATACATTTTTTAAACTCTAACGATTATGGAAACAAACTAATAACTGGAAGTGGGGGGAGGGGAAGGCTACCACTAGGTTACTTGCAAGTAATTTAAGACCTTTCTTCTCTTCACCTCTTAAAAAGAATTTTTAAAAACTACCCAATCATTCAAACACTTAAAAGTTTAAGAGCCTGGCTACCTCAAAGTTTTCTAAAACCTACTTTTTTCAAGATGTACACTTAATCATTTTCCCCTTAAATTGTGTTCAATCTAAACATTTAAAAAGGAAAAAGAGGGGGCGCCCGGGTGGCTCAGTGGGATAAGCGTCGGTCTTCAGCTGAAGTCACGATCTCACAGTTTCAGAGTTAGAGCCCCATGTGCTGACAGCTCGGAGCCTGGAGCCTGCTTGGGATTCTGTCTCCCTCCCTCTCTGCCCCTCCCCCGCTCATTCTCTCTCTCTCTCTCTCTCTCTCGCTCTCGCTCTCGCTCTCTCGCTCTCTCTCTCGCTCTCTCTCAAAAAAAAAAAATTAAATAAATAAAAATTGTGTTCAATCTAAAAAAAAAAAGTCCTGTGAGAATACTGACTCTCATGCAGTCAAAAAAACCTTAATTGGTACCTCAAAAATAAAGTCAACTTAAGGGGGGAGGAAAACTGTTAAAAGCAGAATTAGTATCATTTAGTATCTTACAATTAGGCAGAAATCTCCATCTGAAGGGAGAAATTCAGAACGGGTAAAAGGGCAAGATGGTGTTAAACATTTATGCCGGTTGACAGAATCAAACTAGGATACTTGACATATTTTTGGTTCTTTTGTTGGTTTAAAGGCATTTCATGATTTAAAAAAACCAAAACTGAACTGAAAGTTCATTATTACAGGTTTGGAAAGCGGCAAAAACTTCCTTCTTCACTGCCATTCCCTCCCACCCCATTTCCCCCTATCCCCACAAAGAAAATTAAAACTCAAAATTGTTAGAATCAACTGGAAAACTTCAAGTCGAATTTGTATGGGAGAGCCGCTACAATTCATTAATACATCAGGAGAAAATAATAAGATGTATCAAGCTCTCACATTTTCTGGAGGTGGGAATCAGGGTATGGTACTCAGTTTCTTCCAGGATCACTACAAGTGTAGATGCTAAGTGACCTAAGGTTCCACTTGGAGACAGCAACGCTGACACAAATGATATCTAAATTGTAATGCCAGGGTATGGGAGGGCGGGGGAGAGGGGACGGGCGGTTTGAGACGGAGAGGAAAGATTTGAGCTTCTTGAATTAATTGTTATTTTTCTTTAACAAAAAACCGACAGGAGCTCAATGGTGGGCGCGTCCTCCAAATTCCTCATTTTAAAGAAAGCCAGCCCAATTCAAACACAGTAATGCAGGGAAGGGGTAAGGACTGAAGATAGAACTAGGGGAACTAAGAAGAAAAAAGCGCGGGCGATCTAGCTGGTAGTCTAAGAATGGGAGAGAGGGAATAAAGAGAACAAGTCGGTAAAGGATCCATAGAAAAAAACTAGGACAGCCCTTCAGCTTGGCGCCCCGGAGCAGGCCAAGCAGCCGCCTGAATCCTTTCCAATTATTCGCCCGCGCCCCATACTTTCATAAATGAATGAAACTCGGCAACTCGAAAGCAGGGTACCTTCCTTGTCCCAATTCCTCCCGCGCTCCAAGAAAGGAGCTCGAGGTTCAGGTCCCCATCGCTCATACCTTTCCCCCACCCAAGGGCTACCACCTTCGATCCAAACATATGTTGGCCTTGGAGCTTCCTCGACCGCTAAGAAGTTGTGCACGCGAGTCTAGAACCTTTCTCAGACTTTCTCAACCCGCCTTGAAGAACGTGAACGGCTCTGCCCTAATGGGATTTCTCTCCGCCCCCCTCGGTTTATTCCCCACCTCACCTTCCATCCCCCTTTCTTTGAGTGTGAACGACCTCTCCCCTTCTTGGAGCGGTTAGGGTCTTTTGGGGAGAAATGCAAAAAACGCTGCCTGCACGAGCCACAGTTCCTTGAGGGGCGGAAAGGTTAGGGCACGGAACAAGGAATTCCAAAGGCCCAGCTACCTCAGCATCTCCCGCCATTTCCCTCACGAGTTTCCCGGATGTAACCCCTTCCCCCGCGGCGGTTAAAAGAGACCAGGCGGCTGCAACTCCCTTTGATACAAGAGGAGGGAACTTGAATCTGGTCCAGCTTCTGCCGCGCAGGGTTTCAGGCGACTCGAAACTGCATCCCACCTTGGAGGCCATCCGAGAGAAATAAGCTACCCAGTAGATCTCCTTTACTTTACACTCACCATCAGTTCCAGCTTATCGACCTCCGCCTCCATGTTGAATAGTTGACATTCCTCAGACCGCGGCAGTGCTTAAGCCGCAAACCGTGCTAGCACTGAGAGTGCCTATTGGACAGCTGTCACTCAACGTCTCACACTCATTGGTTCCCCTGCTTCACTGGCGCCCGCCCATTGGCGACTAAGTAACGCCCCTCCACATGAAACACCTTCTCCAGTTGGACAAAGACACAAAACGCCGCAGGAGGATTGGCTGCTGTATATATATATTTTTTCCATTGGCTGCACGCTCATCTCTACTTTCAATTTCATAGATAGGGCTCCGCAGAGAAGAGACTGCGATTGGTATAATCGGAAGAAGAGCCAACCAATTACAGAAAAGCTTCCACAAACAGCAGAAGGAATCTGTCACACCTTCTTAGGTCTCCTGCTTCCCCTCCCCTTCGCTCCCGCCTTCCACTTATTCATACAAGAAGCGCCTCAGCTTTCATTGGCCAGTGCGTGGTGACATCTTAACCAATCACAAACCAGACTGTGCTCCTACAGTACCCAGAGCGCGAATCGTGAAGAGACCTTGGCTACGATTGGTCACTGCGTGATAAGGTTTTAATTTTGAATTGTTCTACATGGCGAGGGAGAGGCCACTACCCGGACTCCATCTAATCCCGAGCTCTTAGACTAGTAAGTGCAGGGAGATCTTCCTTCGGTAGCTGGGCCTGTTGCTGCTTGTGTTCTTACAATTTACGGAGGTGGGGATTTTGGCTGTACTCGGGGAGATACAGCCGGGAAGAGGACGTTTGAGGGTGGGTAAGAAGTGCTCGGCTTGGCTCCATCCTAACCATACTTGCATTTAATTAACGCTCTGCAAAATATGTTTTGGAGCAAAGCGTCAACCTTCCTTTTGCACGTTCCTTTAGATCTTGCTGTTCACTGTTGTCCGGAGACCAACAGTATCTGCATAACTTGGGCGCTTGTTAACAATGCAAATTATCGGGCTCCACCCAGCCCCACTGAATCAGAATATGCATTTTAACAAGATCCCCCACCCCTAATGATTCTTATGCACGTTAAAGTTTGAGAATGTACATTTCTTGATAGCGAGTATTACTATGTTCCTTGATAAGCTCTTAATGTTGTCTAACGTTTTGTGAGAGTGTCAATTTTAAAAGTGTGCCCTGTCTGTGCCTAATAATACTGTGCTGGCTACATTTTAGGGAGCTGCAATCTCGGTAGAGAAACAAGACAAAAACTAAAAAAGCAATGTTGCACAATGTAAAACGAAATTTAATATAACCAAGTACCAGAAATAGCCCTATGAATATTCAAGAGTAATGAACTGGTAAAGGAAATTGATAAATTGACTGAAAGCTGCTTACGGAAAAGTGTAAGAAACCTCCATAAAAATGTGTTTTTATGAAGAGGGTAAAGATATGCAATTTTTATTTTCGTTGCTGTCACAGTTTTGGAAGTACCCCCTTACCAAAAGCACTTCTCGTATCATAGGATGAAGTTTTAATAGAAGCAGCAGTGCCAACTCCCGCAGAATACTAGAATTCTTAGCCTATTATTTATTTCACCTTCCTACTGGAAATAGTTTTGGAGCCATCCTTTAACCATATATAGGAGTGGCATGATTTGAAGAACTTAAAAACCTCCCTCACTGAGAGATTTTTCAAAATTTAATTGTATTAAAGCATATTCCTTAACTAAAAAAGAGACCACTTTTTGGCGAACACTTAGCAGGAATAATTTATTTCATTCATTTGTTGAAATTATTTAGTGCCTGCTGCATTCTTGGTCCTGGGGAAACAAAGTTGAGTAAAATTTATCCTAACCTTAAAAATCTCACAGTCCAGCTGGGTGGCAAGCATGCAAACACAAATTACAATGCAATATAATAAATGCTATAATGAGAATGTGTATAAAATGCTATGGAAGCAGAAAAGAGATGACATTTTCAGCCAGTATAAATTCCTTATGGATAGAGACTATGTTGGCCTTGTTTGGAATTGTATCCCAACATCTACCACACCTATCTACCATGGTGGATTATCAGCACTCAACAAATATCTGTGAGTAAAAATAACAGCATCTTGAAGGTTATATAAGTTGACTTGAAGGAGGATACCCCAAGCAGGGGGAAAGGCTATAGAAAGTACATTATAGAAAGTATTTGGTGTTTGCCATACCTGAAGTACAAACTGTTTCCTAATCACTAGAAGAGATGAGGCTGCAAAGGGCAATCAGACTAAATTGTGACAATCTTTTTTTTTTTTTTTTAATGTTTATTTACTTTTGAGAGAGACAGACAGAGCATGAGTGGTGGAGGAGCAGAGAGAGGGAGACACAGAATCCAAAGCAGGCTCCAGGCTCCAGGCTGTCAGCACAGAGCCCCACGCAGGGGATGGGGCGAACGCTCTAACCCACAAACTGCAAGATCATGACCTCAGCCAAAGTCTGACGCTTAACTGACTGAGCCACCCAGGCGCCCCTAAATTGTGACAATCTTTAAAAAGTATGTTAAGGAAAAAAAAAAAAAAGTATGGTAAGGAACCTGGGTGGCTCAGTTGGTTAAGTGTGGATACTCTTAATCTCAGCTCAGGTCATGATCTCACCATTCCTGGGATCTCCATCTGCACTGGGAGGGGCGCTTAGGTGGTTCAGTCAGTTAAGTGACCAGCACTTCATCTCAGCTCAGGTCTTTTTTTTTTTTCTTTTTCTTTTTTTAGTTTATTTCTTTATTTTGAGAGAGAGAGAGAGCATGTGAGGAGCAGAGAGAGAATCCCAAGCAGACCTCACAGTGTCAGCACAGAGCCCAATGCAAGGCTTGGACTCAAGAACGGTAAGATCACAACCTGAGACAAAACCAGAAGTGTGTCCTTCACCTGAATGAGCCACCCAGAGCCCCCTCAGCTCAGGTTTTGATCTCAAGGTCGTGAGTTCAAAGCCCGCTTTGGGCTCTACACTGGGCAAGAAGCCTACTTAAAAAAGGAGGGGGTGGGCAGGGCCCCTGGGTGGCTCAGTTGGTTAGGCATCCGACTTCAGCTTAAGTCAGGATCTCATGGTTAGTGAGTTCCAGCCCTGCATGGGGCTCTGTGCTGACAGCACAGACTCTGGAGCCTGCTTTGGATTCTGTGTCTCCCTCTCTCTCTGTGTCTCTTCCCAGCTCACACACAGTCTCTCTCTCTCTCTCAAAAACGAATAAATTTTAAACAAATTTTTTTTTTTTTTACTAAAAAAAGGAATGGTGGCACCGGGGTGGCTCAAGTCAGTTAAGCATCCGATTTCAGCTCAGGTCATGCTCTCACAGTTGATGGGTTTGAGCCCCTCATCAGGCTCTGTGCTGAGAGCTCAGAGCCTGGAGCCTGCTTCAGATTCTGTGTCTCCTCTCTGCTCCTTCCCGCTTGCACTCTGTCTCTCTCTGCCTCTCAAAAATAAACAAAAATGTTTAAAAATTAAAAAAAAAAAGATAACAGATAACAATTAGCAAATTTAGGTGAATAGTATACGAGTATATTTTTCCAGAATAAATATGATCTTTTATTTTTTCTTTTTATATTTTCAATTTATTTTTTTATTGAAGTATAGTTGGCACACAATGTTACATTTGTTTCAGGTGCTGACATCTGCGTATTAATTATACTATCATAAATTTGTCAGGGTTTGAAATTTTTCAAAATAAAAAAAGTAAGAGAAAATAGACTACAGCAAAAATCTAAAATGGGAAAGATGGCAAAAGCAACTGAACTTAGAAGACAGAAAGAGGAAGGACAGGATGAATGAATCACATAAATATTTCAAATTCATGTATATAAGTATATATTATACACATTAAATATTTAATTCTATAATGGATCTCATTTCCTCATCTACCTTTTTTTGTGGGTGGTAGTACATATTGTTTGTTTGTTTTTTTCAATGTTTTTTATTTTTGGGACAGAGAGAGACAGAGCATGAACAGGGGAGGGGCAGAGAGAGAGGGAGAGACAGAATTGGAAACAGGCTCCAGGCTCCGAGCCATCAGCCCAGAGCCTGACGCGGGGCTCGAACTCTCGGACCGCGAGATCGAGACCTGGCTGAAGTCGGACGCTTAACCGACTGCGCCACCCAGGCGCCCCAGTACATATTGTTTTTAATCAACCTTAAAGTCTTTTCAAAACAAGGCAGGTAAAAAGGAAGGAATAGTACTTTTCAATAAAAAAGTAGGAAAAATGCTTTGAGTAATCTTAAAAAAAAAAAAAAATGAGCTTCTATCTAGTGTTAGTAGTTGGAATCCTGCTTAGTCCAGCAAAAAGAATTTGTATGTCTCATTACTTTTCTGGAAAGGGACAAGTATATGTGTTTTATTTTTTTTTTATTTTTTTTTTCAACGTTTATTTATTTTTGGGACAGAGAGAGACGGAGCATGAACGGGGGAGGGGCAGAGAGAGAGGGAGACACAGAATCGGAAACAGGCTCCAGGCTCTGAGTCATCAGCCCAGAGCCGACGCGGGGCTCGAACTCACGGACCACGAGATCGTGACCTGGCTGAAGTCGGACGCTTAACCGACTGCGCCACCCAGGCGCCCCCAAGTATATGTGTTTTAACCTAGGAAGACTATTGCAGATTATTTCAGGCAATTATCCTCTACAGAACATCTACTAATGCTTTTATTAAAGCAATGATAATAAAACAAAATTTAGCGTGAGTTCTCTGTCTTGTTTGATTTAGGAATTCTTTAACTTTCATTTTTTGAAAGAACAGTTATCACTTTTGAATGGAACACTAATCTAGGAATTATCTCAGACTGAACCTTTTTACCTTGACAGATTTGACGTATTCTCTCAATTCTCTGCATGTGCCAATTACTGTGTTTAATTAAAAGGTTATTAGAGTAACAATGACTCAGAGCCCAGGGGACACACACACACACACACACACACACACACAGAAGAGAAAGGAGAAAATATGATTTAGTTCCTAGATTTTTTTTTCATTGAAAAATTATCTCCAAAATGACATACATCAGCTTATATAGGACTCTTCAGAAATTTGAATGAATGGGCATTGGTAAAACCACCAGAAAAGGGCTAGAAAGAGATGGCTCAGTTTCAGAATGGTGGTACTCTATTTTTCTAGCTAATAATATATACCAGAGGGGAGCCTGGGTGGCTCAGTCGGTTAAGCAGCCAACTTTGGCTCAGGTCATGATTTCATGGTTGGTGGGTTAGAGGCCTGCTTCCGGCTCTGTGCTAACAGCTCAGAGCCCAGAGTCTGCTTTGGATTCTGTGTCTCCCTCTCTCTGTCCCTCCCCTGTTCATGCTCTCTTCTCTGTCTCTCAAAAATAAATAAACATTAAAAACATTTTTGGCAGGGGGGCACCTGGGTGGCTCAGTCAGTTAAGCGTCCAGCTTCCACTTAGGTCATGATCACATGATTTGTGGGTTCAAGCCCCACATCAGGCTCAGTGCTGACAGCTCAGAGACTTGGGTCTGCTTTAGATTCTGTTTCCCTCTCTCTTTGTCCCTCCCCACTTGCACTCTCTTTGTCTCTCAAAAATAAGTAAACATTAAAGTTTTTTTTATTTTTTAATACAAATATAATATATACCAGAGATTAACTGTCGAATGCAAGACTTATTATAGTTAGAAACAAATAGCAGTCCTCTGAATCATCTCTATAATCCTGACTCCCACTTGCCAAAGGCAATTACTATCCATTCTTATAATTGTTTCTGTTGTTTACCTCCATGATTCTAAAAGACATGCTTACAAAACTATTTCTTTTCTAACTTTTTTCTTTCCTTCCTTCTTTCCTATTTTCCTTCCTTCCTTCCTTCCTTCCTTCCTTCCTTCCTTCCTTCCTTTCCTTCTTTCTCTTCAGTATTAAACACTTATATAAATTAGAAAACTACTGATTTCCACTTTCTCTCCTATCTTCACAATATACCTATACCATGTTTTTGGCTAAATAAACAATCAGTGGCTTTGCTACTAAATACTGTGTAACAGCTGAACATATAAGTGTTACTATGATTACATTTTTTTCTTTTATAACTTTTTTCCTACTCATTTTTAAATGCTTTTTTAAAAGCATTTATCAATAATTTGGCCCCAATTTTACAGAAGAACAGTAAACTCAGCTCAGAAAGGTCAATACTCTAGGTAATTTATTGGTTTCCCTTTTTTTTCCTTAGAGACAATGTTACTGAAGCCTGCTATCGGTCTTGCTCACTTCACTGGCTGTGGGTGCTCTAAGACAGGAATTAGCAAGCTACAGTTTTTGTAGATCCCATGAGCTAAGAATGTTTTTTTTTTACAATTTGTAATAGTTGAAGAAAAATCAAAAGAAGAATATTTTGTGACACCTGAAAATTATATGAAATTCACATTTCAGTGGCAATAAATAAAATTTATTGAAAAAATTTATTGGTACACAGCCATACTCATTTGTTTTAAGTACTGTCCATGGCTGTTTGGATGCTACAGTGGCAGAGTTGAGTGGTTATGGTAGAGACCAGGTGGCTTACAAAGCGCAAAATATTTATTATCTGGCCCTTTACAGAAAAGGTTTGCTGACTCCTGCCCTAGGCCTGCTTCAAAGCTGTCTTCCAATGACCTCTGGCCACTATTACCCTGGAAATTGCCACTGTTTATCTTAATGCTGTCCTCACACTTGACTAAAAGTGTGACCAGGTATAAAATTCCAGGATGGAAAACATTTCCTTCAGAAGTGTGGCTGTTGAAGTCTGATGCCATTCTATTCTCAGACCTCTGTATCTATACTGTTTTTTTATCTCATGAAGCCTTTAATTTTTTTTTTTTTAATGTTTATTTCTGAAGGGGAGAGAGAGCGTGAGTGGAGGAGGGGCAGAAAGAGAGAGAGAGAGAGGGACAGAGCGTGAGTGG